TCAGTTGTCTGTTAGTATCACTCCTCTTTCTTTCTTTCTTTCTTTCTTTCTGATTGCGTGTGCCGTGAACTCCGCCGATGTGATTTGTAGTAGTAGGTGTTTATTGTTTTGCGGCTGCTCGGCTGCCTCTCCTCTCCTCCTAGTGGATAGGTAGGCTAACCAGTCCGAGACTCTCACTATACTCCCTCCCTCTCTCCTCTCCTCTCCTCTCTCGCTGCCTCCTTCTCTCTCTGACTTAGAGGACAAAATGGGGAGAGTGACTTTTGCAGCTGCGTAAAGTCTCCAGTGCTTCCTTTCTCTGCTGCTGCTGAATATTATTGTTGGTTTTCTTTTTTGTTGTTGTTGTTTTGTGCGTTATGTTAAATACAACCTGGAGTCGCAGCTTGTTGATTGGGTTCAAGCCTAATTTGAAATATCTTCACTTGTGTTAGAAAGCATCCTTTGAAGGAGTAAAATTATAAAAACCGGTGGCGTTTCTTGACGTTGACGATATGGACGACCACCCAGGGCAGCATAGACCAGGGGGGCGGCAGGAGTGGTTAAAGCTATGTCCAATTGCACCTGTGTTCTCCATTGGTAATTTGGAAGCCTGGTCTCATGACCTGTTCAGTTTCAGGTATATGTGTTTCACCAGTTTTGCCTTCCTGTCATTCCACGATCCTGCTGCTGGAATAACAAGCAGTGGAAAATGTCTAGTGAACTTTTGAGAACTTTCCAGAGACTTCACATAAATGTATTAGCTTTCCAGGAGTTGGGATGGAGGGGGGGGATTGGGAAATGTTCCAAAGTGGAAACTCTTAATGACTATCGGAGGAAATTACTGGAGTTAATTGAAAATTAAAGTGGTTTACACAAATTGCATCATATTTAACTTAACATTTATAACTTTTTTTTTCATTAATTATAATACATTTTTGTTAATTCAACTATTAAATGATTAAATTTTTGTTATCAGATGTCCCTACATTTGTCGTTTTACAACATTTTTAGGAGTACATTATAGTTTTATTTAAGGACCAAATCAAAACAAAACCTTAGTCAGTTCATTACTGGACATTTTTTTATACACTCATAAAATATTAAAATCTAAATTTCATCAGAAAACCAACAAAGACATGAATGAATAGCTAATAAAGCTAATTTCTGTTATTACTGAAACTCTGCTATTGCAGCATGTTTCAATATTCACCATTTTATTTAATTACTAGGTCAACCTGGCCTTTCAGCACCATGGACAGCAGCACCTCAGAGTTCAGATTAAAAAATGGATGTCTTCTGATGAAAATGTGTGTGTGTGTGTGTGTGTGTGTGTGTGTGTGTGTCCTATTTACCTTTCTGATGATCATTTTACTGTTTTCTTACACCCAGGATACTTTTGCAATGTGTGTTTATTTGTTTTCTGCTCTTTACCCATAACTCTCTGCAGGGGCTCAAACTCCAAATAATAATCTTGCATTTTCAACGTAAATCAAAAGGGAAATAACAACTGGAAGATAATATTATTAAAGACACTGGTGACTACGAGGTAGAACAGTTATGTTGCCACACAGCAAGAAGATCCAGGATTTTTATTACACCACTTGTGCGTGTTTTCCCTGTCTAATATACAATAAAATCCTGTATATAAGGTGCTCTGAGTTTGAGCATGCGTTGTTATTGTGTGTCTCTGTGTTATAGACTGGCGACCTCTCCTCCACTGACCGCATGAGCCCCCATGTGACCCTGCAAGACTCAAGTGGTTAACAAAGGATGGAGAGATAAAGAAACTGGCATGTAATGTAAATATTACATCTTTGAACAATAATGTGTTTGTAAAAATCTAAATGTTTTAACATGTTTCTAAAAAAAAAACTGCAGACTAAATACACATTTTAAAACTAATAAATACTTTACATTAGTGGCTCAGTAAAAATGTAAGTAGTCGTAAAGTGAAAACATCCATGTAAAAACATGGATGGAGTTTTTCCACTATGATATCGTTTGGTTATTGTTGCAACAGCAAAAACTGAGTCATTCTAATGGTTCAGTTAGAGAACCCCTCGGGAGGTCTTGCGTTTTCGCTTCATGTTGAGACCTGTTATGCACTTCCACCTGCTTTTTGTCTGCAGCCCTGCAAAAAAGTAAGAGACCACTACATTTTTTTTTTCAGAAATAAGGGATAAAATGTCACCCAACAGCAAGATGGAAGACTTTATCAAGGTGGAGAGCCACATTGATAAATAATGGTAGTTTTATATAATTTACCCATAGTCTACTGTAAGAAAACATCTGCTGGTAAACATCTACCAGCAGGAGGTTGATTAGAGTTTGTTTGGTTTTGAAGGGGATCTAAATACGTCAAATTTCAGAACATTATATGGGACCAAACACTACAATGAAATTAAATGGAAATGTAACAAAATGTTTTCAGAGAATATGTAGTGAATTAAAAGTGTTGTGTAATTTTTATTAATATTGTGCATAATAATTAATTAAAGTATCGAAACACCTAGAAGAATAAATTGATATTCAGTGTTTTAAGTGTGTAGGTATGAAACAGCAGTAGGAGTGAGAGAAATAGCAACACGTAGGTACAAAATGTTAAAATGAGCAACCAATCTGGTGCTTATTCCACCAGATATAAATTTTTAACTATTAGAGTTAAAATATTTAATAAGTTAGCTTAAAAAAATGAATATGAAGTAGATTTGTCTGTCTGAAAACTCCATATCTTTTTCTTGTCATTTGTCTTGTCACTAGTTTCTGGAAAAAGGAGTTTACTTAAACACATGTCTACAAATAGTTAAATCAGAGAAACAAATAATTTTGTTATGATCCCTTATCTTGTCTTATCTTCTGTATATATTCACACCTACTGTGTTCCTGCATGCACAACACTGTCCTGCATGCAGAAACACAGGTGCATGGAGGTGGACAGATCAGGAACTCCCAGAAAGGAAGTAGCCATCACTTTTTGGTGCAAAGGGAAATAGTTGCTTTTCACCTCCACCAAGAATACGCTACAGGAATGAGATGCAGATTATTTAAGGCCTCGGTATCCAGGCGGTCTTACATCACGCTCAGGCAGACTTCTGGAAGTGGAGGAGGACTGATTTGCCCCTGACCTTGACACAGTCCCAGAAAAAGCCAGTTATAGGAAGCAATTTAAAACAATTTCTTTAATTATTTTTTTCCCTTCATGTTCTCTGAGCAAATTACCAATTTGTAATGGAACTTCTTGGTGGAGAGAGCGAGAGACAGAGACATGGAGAATTAGAGAATAAATGGGATGAGGCATGACAGTTATTAAAAACCTCAGCAAAAAGGATGTCTCACTACTTTTGCCACTTGTTAAAACAGATGTTGTGTAATAAATCTATAACATTAAACTCAGTAGAGATCCCAAAACGACTTCTGACACTTTGACATAAATCTGCACATTTTTCCCTGTGAAGCTCACGAAACAGAGGGCCGATATCCCATTCAATAATGTGGCTCCTGTGATATCGCAGATTAAAAACTCAATAGGATATGAGTAAATCAGCGCCGCTGATGGAAATGCTTTCAACAGTTTCCCTGCATTTGATCAATAGAGCCAAAAAAGTCATTTACCCCGAGCATCCTGTAGTGATTTTCATTTGATCATACTCTGCCGTGCACTGAGCTCTCCGTGCTATTTGCACTCCGCTGAGCATCTTTCCCCGCTGGTCGGGCAGAATTCTCAGCAGACTAATTTGACCGCACTCGGTTCCCAGATCCTTCCCTCCCGCCCAGCCCCTCGCTGCCAGCAACATTGTGCCTGTCACTGATGCATCTGTCTCCACTGGTATCTATAAATACCACCTTCAAAAATCTGATTCCCATTGATTTAGTGACCTATATACACATCAGCACCATCCCCTCACTTCCTCCGGTCCCTCTGCTGCTTCTCCACCTCTTGCTTCCTGCTTCTCCTCCATCACTCAGCTCAACTTAACTGCCTCTCCCTTCCTCCTCCACTTGCCACCGAGAGCAAGAAAGGGCTAATAATAGTTCACGGTGGAAGCTTAAGTCATGACACATGAAAAGGATTTTGAGTGTGCACAGGAACAGTGGCTTGCTGCTCATTTCCAGATTTCAAAGTCTCGTTGAGCCATCCTCTAATCTCTCTTTCTCTCTCTGGTGAGTGAGTTTGTGTGTGAGCGAGTAAACACTGGAGTAGATGGTCTGACGAAAGGTGTCTCTCAATATGAAATCTGACTCTAACCGAAATGAGGAAGACAGAAGCGCAGAGAGAGACTGCAGGGTGGGTGCATGCGTGTGCGTGCGTGCAGGGTTACATGAAAGTACTATGATGTAATAATGCTGCAGGGATGTGCAAAATAGCACTCTGCAAGCTAACACCACGAACCAATGCTGGATAAATAAGTAAATAAATAAAACAGGATTAAAAATGAATGAGCACCCCCTCTTATGAGATCTGTTAAGTCAAAAACCAAACATGAGGTGGAAAGCAAATTTTTGTGCATATTTTAAGTTTTTAGACAGGCTTAATTAATCAAGCGAAAGCACAGGGAGCTCAGGAAAGAAGGGCATTTGTGTTTAAGCCTCCAGTGTGTAGACGTTTGCATATTTTAGGGGGGGAAAAAACAGGAGAAAGCGGTTGGAAGGTGTGATTTACAGGTCACACCGCCTAAAAATGAACAGACACCTGTGGTGCCTGATGGTGACGCTCACTCTCTTCCCAGAAACTGCATCCGTGGTCCCACAGTGCCACCTGGTGGCTACGAGGCTGCAACTGCAGATGCCCTCGAGGAGTCACACAGTCGTCCTTGGTCTCTTCAAAAGCATTCCCCTTCCTGTTTCCACAGCACTATTACAGACAAACACACTCTGTCAGTTCTTTTGTATTCTGTCAAATAACTGCTGGACCTTGAAAGCAGATACAGTGATGAGTGGAAGGCTCGCAACCTTCAGGACAGACAACTACGACAGGCAATTTAAGGACAGTCAGTTTATTGAACAGTAAATTGTGACACAGAACACAATATATATATATTTTTTTTTTCTTTTCCATTGCGTTGCAGACAAATGTTAACAAACAACTGTGCCTTTCACCACACTACCTCGCAAACGGCCTCTGTGATAGAGAGGCTTAGCAGATCGAAGGCGGGAGGGTCCTCGTTTTTTAAAGTGCTTTATTGCACAGTTCCTCTCGGAGGAAGAGAACAAGGGGCTGCGAGGTGAGCCCAGAGTCCGAACGGCCTCTGAGCTTCATGGTTGCAATAATAATACTCTGTGTGTGTGCATGTGTGTGTGGTGCTGTGATTACTTGGTTGTATTCAGTGCCTCCTCTCTTAACGCGCAAGTGTGTGTGTGTGTGTGTGTGTGTGTGTGTGTGGCTACTTATTGCATAACAGTAAGCTGGCTCATGAATTTTTCAGTGAAAGTGTAAAGCACAAATCTTTAGATTAAAATGTTATAAACTCTTCACAATAATTACAATACATCTCATAATATCTAAGTTACATTCTTATATCTGATTCATATAGAATATGTAGGCGATATACATCTTGTGGCTTACTGCTTATAGCTAACATAGTGGACACTATCATGTGGGTCTCTGTCTCAGCCCTCTAGGTTTACAGACATAGATAAATACACAGTGCTGGTCAGATGTTTGCACACACTCCGAATAATTTGGGTACAAATTCTGATTAATTGAAGCTAATCTTCACACATGGAGGAATAATTATACAGCTTTAAATTATTTTAAAAACAGACATGGGGTTGCAAGTTTGAATTTATCACGGATTTTTTTCTAGCCTACACAGGGTCAAAAAAAAAAAAAGGTTAAAATTGAAACACACAAACAAACATAATTGACTATTATTTATAAAAAGAAAATATTCAATGAATTGGAACACACCGTTCTGATATCAGGTTATATAAGAGCCTATGAAAGCATATTTTCATTAAGCCCAGGTGGTCCGACGTAATATTCTAATCGTGTATAAAAATGAAAGGACATTCTTTTATTAATCATCATAATTAGCAGAAATAAAGGCTTGAAAATGTCACCTAATCAGATTGAATTCAAACTTGTGCACCCAATTTTAGCAAAAGATCAACTCAAATAATTACATGTAATGGTTTGGTGAGTGCACGCAAAGTTCTGACTAGCACTGCAGATAAATATGTTTCTTTTATATTGGAATTTATAGCAACAGATTCAAAGAAACAAATCAGTTTAGAGGGAAACATGTGCTATTCTTATGCCTTTATGCCTAAAAATCCCTTGTGCTTTCTCTGATTGTACACACTCCGAATAGTACATTTGGTGTTTTTAGAAGTTTCTCTGCACACGACCTGCATACTGGCAGAGGATTGTGACAAAAAAAAAAAAAAAAAAAAAAAACAAAAACCAACGGGGAGAAACAAAGAGGGAAAAAAAAAA